GTCAGCAGATTCACACTGTTCTGAATTCTGAGATAAGTTTCTAAAAACACAGATAATAAAATATAATAAAAATCGATTTTTTTAGGCAAACAATGGAAAATAGTGGACGTGGTGGGATGCAGCTGATAGAATCTTGGTCATTATAGTTATTCACATTAAAGATCAAGTTATTATCTGCCGCAGCACCACAGACATTAGCTGTCCTGGCTTCACGTTCATTTTCACAGTCCATATCTGTCTCTTTTTGAGATGACATTACATTTTTGTCACCACATCCAATCTCTTCCCAGGGTGCTTTGACCTCATAACATTTCTGCCTCCGAAAGCTGCAGAGTTCATTCAATCCCCCAGCTCCCAGGCACGTCCCGCATATCTGTGGGACATCTGTAGCTGGCAAGTGCAAACTGGAGCAGAAGGGCAGGCTAGGGAGTGCAGGAGCTCCATGGCCTCCAGGAAGGTCTGGGGCTTAAAGGACCAGTGAATGCTGACTACTGTTGTCTTCGAGCAACAGCAGTTAAAACTGTTGCTACCTTTAGCAGAGTTTTGAAATGTAAGCAACCTGAATGAGTTGTCTGCTAAGTAAAAAGGAAAATCAAAAAGAATAGTGATGGGCCTGGAGGTTCAGGTAGCTCCTAGCATGAGGAAGGGAAAGATACACAAAGTTCCTCTAAGCAGGGAGAGGAAAGCACAGCAAGGTCGTATGCAAGGGGAATATGGAGACTCTGACAAAAGCAAAGAGGCGGTGGGTCGTGGACTCTGTCATGGCTTCCAGCAGCAACAGCCTGGGCCTCAGGACAAATACTGACAAGCATCTGGGTGGGACACTGCCTTTGAGCAGTGAGGTACTGCTGAAGGGTAGAGGAAAATGGGGTCAAGATTCAAATTTTGGCTCTTGGAACATACTAATTTGCATTTTTCGATTACTTTTGAGCCCCCTTTGAATTCTTCCTTAGTCTTCTGCATTGTCTATGGCTGGCCCTGAATTTGAGAGCCTTAGTGTGTGCAACGAATACAGCCTACACATGCCAAACAAAATGCAGTCCCCTTGGTGTGTGATTGTCTCCCCAGCATCTGGGGACTCAGTCATCCTTGAGTCAGAGCAACCATATTTGGTTAAAATTGTATTTTGCTGTTGTAATCCATGGGATGCTGTTTGGTACTGCTAAATTGTTTGTGTCATCTGCCCAATAAATTACTGGCTGGAAGCTTCTCTTTCAATACAAATATTCCTTGCCAGCCACTGTAGGTTTTATATGTGGGGTTTGGGTTTTTTTTGGTAACAATCTAGATCCTTTAGTGCTGCCAAATTATCTTTCCTTCACCCATGAGGTGCAGCATGTGGGGAGAACGAGCTGTTCCTGCAGTAGCCAGCTGCAGATTACGAGGTGCTCTTAGACACAGGGGTGCTCAGCTGTACAAAGGTCAAAGCTCCTGAAACCAAAAGACAAAAAAAGAAAAATGCATTTCATATCTAGAGGATTTGCACGCTGTCAATCTTAAGATACCCGAGGTAAGGTTCACACTTGCAAGACAAGGCAGCAGAATGGGCACCTTGTGAATAAAGAGCTGTGCGAGAGCAAAGGGCACCTGGGCTTGCCACAGTACAATTCATTACTGGAGATTTCACTTCAGATGCAGGACAGCTGGAGGAGAGCAATGCTGAGGGCTGCTCCTGCTCCTGGGCTTTTAGTTGCATTATTATTGCTTACTGGGTTGAGCTGTGGATCAAACCACTATGAAAAAAAGAGGCAGAAACGAACCATTTATGACACGCAGTAAGTACCATTGCTTGCAAATGCAGTTGTTCCTATGGTGGCTTCTAAGTGCCGGTAATAGGAACAGAATGCCTTTACTGCAGCTTTATTTTTTTACGTACTTTTTGGCAGATATGTGTAACTAAATGATCTCTTTGTTTTTTCCGTAATATAACAGGCCTCGTTTGTCCTCAGAGCAGGGTAATTTAGTGTTCCATGCTGGCTCCAGCAAAAATATTGAATTTAGAACTGGACCGCTGGGGAAAATAAAAATTAATGAAGAAGACCTTGCAGAACTTTTTTGTCAGGTGATATAGTTACTTTTCCTTAATATGTTTTCATTTTCAGTTTTGCACATTAATAGTTTAATTCTCTTTGGAATTTGTCTTAGCAAATGTTTCATGTGTTTTGCATGATTTTTATTTTATATTATCTATGTTAGTACTCTAATATGAAAGTAAGCTATTGCAGACTTGTAAAGTAATCATGCCATTACAGAATATAATTAAAAGATTAGATTGTGTATGTAACAGAACCCTCTGTATTTAAGTGGACCTTAGTAAAGTTAAGCAAGAACAAAACTTTCTGAAGCTCTTGAAAAAGCAAAGCTTATTTACATTTGTAAGCTTTTGAAAAAGCCAGGCTCGTTCGTCATTATGTCTGTTGTTTAAATTTAGGTGAAAGAAAGCAATGCAGAGATTCAAGAACTTAAGAAAATCAATGGTGCCTCTCAGAACGTGTCCCAGCAGGTTGCTCTGCTGACCTCCAAGGTGAGCCATACCCTCATGTTATCCTCCTCCAGCTTTCCCAGTTTTCCATTCCTCCGAATCATTACCTAATTAATTTTAGTAATTCTGGACTCCAGTTCAGGAACTGGGGCAGAGTCCGTATTTAACATCAGCTCAGAATCTCTGTTTAATGTTGAGATACTTAGTAACTCTGGAGACAATGGATATAGTCCTGTAAATCCCATAATTTCCAGTTACCAGGATTCTTTTCTTCACTGTCAATATCTCTATGGACTATATCCTCTAATATTTATGGAAGTGAAATCCCACTAAATTCAGGAAATGGACCATATATGTTCTTATAGTTGTTACACAGACATTCCATTCCATAGGTGAAATGGGCTATCAGTGAAATGGGCTATGAATAAAATGGGTTTGCAGTGGAAAGAAAAGACTATGCAGTAGTTTTGTCTCTTCCCTGCTACTAAAGATTTTTCTCCAACAGAAGATTTTGAAACCTTGGTCCGGCTTGGTTTAAGTGTCTTTTGTTACAGCGTTGCCACAAGGTCCTTATAGGAAAATATTTTATAGCCTAAGAGACTTCTCTTTAGGGAAATGGTGCTAATACAAATCAATCATGTTCCCTGGCTCAGTTTCAGCTTGCTTTGTGGTTATAACCCACTGAGATACGGTGAACCTTTTCTTGGCTTTCGGTATACTGTCTCAGACCTCTGTCCTTCGCATGCACGCGAGAACCCCAACAGTCACACTGGAATATTCACATTCTCAACGTTGAGTACCTGAACACATCTTCACAAGACTGAGTCTTGCTTTTTGGAGCCAAACTGGGACATACTTAAGCTGTCATTTTCTGAACAGCCTAAAACACCAAAATCCCAGTGAATGGCACCTGATTTGAACCTGATTGTCACTTGGTTTCACATACCAACTATTCTCTTTTCTCAAAAGAAAATATTTGTTAGCCTACCAGCATCCAGCATTACCTCTCTGGTCATTGTCTTATGAAGTACAATGCAATTTACTTTTCTCTTGCAGATCGTGAGTCTTGAAAACAAACTGCGAAGCTTAGAGCAGGTGAGTAAATAGGAAGCAAACTACAGATCAAAAAAGAAAAACCCAGCTGCAAGTAAATAAAATGAGGTTACAGTGATTAAATAGCTAAATGATTTCTTTCCTCTCATGCATTACTAAGGAAAACAGGAGGTAAAAAAAAGCCAAGATTTGTGAAGGAGGTGAAATGCCTTCTTACAAAATATAAACTGTGTAGGAGCCTGCATTCCTTAAAGGAAAAACAGTTGTAGAGTCAAGAACAACAACTAGATACCAAGGAGAAGTAAACTCTTCCTTCACTGATCTGTGAAGACGCAGACTGGAGAATTCAAACTGGGTTTTACATTGTACTGGAAACAGCTAATTTTCCACTGTCGCCTGCTTCACCACTGAGCTTGTGACAAGCCACAGCTACAGCTGCCAGTAAAACGAGTTGTCAGATAAGTCACCTGTGGAATTGAGAGGACCCTCCATATAGGCTCACAGTCTGCTGCTGAAGAGCAGTCTCTGTTAATATTTACCTCTTGCAGGGCTTTTCTCATCCTAGTACTTGCAGCCAGCCATTCTGTCTAAGACCAATCATATTAGTCATTATTTTGTACAGGGATAAGTGAAACATCTCAAAACCTTTTCAAATCAACCTTATTGAAAAAAAAGGGGGCTGGGCTCAAGAAAGAATGAAGAAAAAAAAAGAGAACAAAAGGTTTGTCTTGAAAATAAATGTTAATGGA